TCCCCAGGGAGGAACGCGTGCAGCAGGACTCACTCCTGTCTCATAAATGGGGTTGTCGAACTCCGTTTCTACCGTGATCTGGCTGTAGGGGTGGGAGTACATGAGGGGCAGGCGGAGGCTGGAGTAGTACCGACACCTGCGGGGGAGACGCAAGAGTCACCGGGCTGCACGGCACGACCTCAGCGCAAAGCAGGGCCAGCCCCATCCTCCCACGTCCCCCCCATCCCGCCTCCCCACCAGCACTCCGGGGGCACCGGAGCGGGAGCTCGGTGCCTGGCTCCCCAGGACCGTGCCCGGGGCCTGTGGCCGGGGAGGGCATGGCGATGCTGAGCCAGCCCTGGCCATGGTGCCACGGGGCTCTGCCGCCGGCCCCCCAGCCCCCTGCACACCCCACCTTGTGAGATAGATGTACGCTCCTCCCAGCAGCAAGGAGATGATCAGCACCGGGATGAATATGGCTAAGGCCATATTTCCTCCCTCCAGCGATGTCTCTGCAGCAGCTTCTGCTACTAAAAGGACAAGATCTATTACGTCGGCACGTGCAAGCACCTTGGGGTCCCCCTCTGCCTCTGCTCCTCCCCTCCCTCCTCCCCAGCCCCACGCCGGCTCTGGCTGAGCGCCCGGCGCAGGGCTCATCCACCAAACGTATGCCACTCACCTTCCAGAGCATGTTCAAAGCTGTCTTGATTCACTGGAAGAGAAATAGGGAGTTACTGGTACATAACTGGGTTCGACTGGGTGCCGGCAGCTGTCAGCTGTGTGGGGAGCCCGGGCTCGGGCTCTCCCTGCACCGTTTGGTCCCAAGCCACGCTGCAAACTTTCATTTTTTTAAATAAGCTTTGATCTCTGTAAGTGAACGCGTGGGAGTGAGCGGGGCAGGGAAGCCAGGCACCTGCCTGGGGCGGTGGTACCCTCCAGAGAGCCCCGCTGCCCAAGAGACAAGGTCTCCACGTAGTCCCATTAAACAGTAACGAAGAACAATTCATCCCTGCAGCTTAGTGGTGACGGCAGGACTGCGCTGTGTCCAGAAAGCGCGCTAAGACCAGCGCCGAGGGGTTTCCCTGGGGCTGAGCAGTCCCATCTCAGTGGGCGCCCGAGGAGAGCATCCCTGCTGAGCCTGGGCAAACTGCTCCGGGAAGCAACAAAGCAAGGAGAGCAAGCGATGCCCCATGCGCCCCACACCGCCAGCACAGTGCCCAGGGGAGTTTCTCCCCCTCCCTGCGGCACCAGAGCTTGCGCAGCACAAATCCAGAAAAGCACCCAGGTTTCAGGTGAGTTCAGCCCCCAGTTAGAGAACCGCTGGGAGTCTGCAGCCAGACGAAGGTACCTGGGCTGTCCCGGCTTGGGGACCGAGGCTGCGGCCGCCCCTGTCCCC